TCGGTCCAATCAATCGACGGGAAAATCTGAAATTCAATTAAACAGTCATGTTGTCTGAACACTTTGGTAGTCACCAAATACGCTAGCACATGGGATGATGCATTACAATTATTTTTTTGTACATTTCTGATGTCATTATTAACTGAGAGTGAATGTGTGTAACATGTGCGGAAGTAAGACGTAAGACCGGTCGAAGATTAATTTTCATGAGTCAGTCTATAAGGATTTGGTTTGTGTCAATTTCTTTCACAGACTTGTCAATTAGAGAACCACTAGAAACCACGTCCTGGGTTCAAATCCCAGTGGGTGGGTAATGCCGATGAGTTCCAAACTAGGGCGGAACAACTGTATAGTACTCCCTGGTTGACCAGGGATATACTTCTCTAAGTAACATCAAACCTTGATCAAACTTGAATCGAAGATTCGTTTCATGCAAAGTAGTTAAAACTACCTAGCCGTCTTGGGGGTGGGGTGGGGTGAGGAAAAAAACGTTCGGCTTGAGTAAGGCGTCCAAATTCTATAAGATGATATTCAGAAAGCTATTATTATTATTATATCCTTTAATTCCTAGAAGAACATAGGGCTTCAGCTGCGCATCTCTATTGCCTTCTGTTTTCTGCCAACTTTTTCACCCCGCTTCGAGTCTGCCTACATGCTTTTATCTCCTTCTCACATGACCTCCTCCAAGTCACCCTTACACTGGCGACCAACTCGCCGCTTCCTTTTCGGCCATGTTCCACTCGAGCAATGGCTTGTCTAGTGATGTCACTTGATGGTTTGTTTTCTCAGAGTATGGCCAATCCATTTCCATTTCTTCCTGCCTATTTGTTTCATAATCGGTTCCTGGTTGGTTGGTTGGTTCGCTCATTTTCAGAGATCCCTGTTTCTGATCTGTTCTGGCCGGCCATCTGATCTTGAGTGGTATTGAGCTAAGACAGCTAGCTGTTGATGAAGGTGTGTAGTTTGTTTGAGATGCTCTTTATGACGCGCTGGCCATGTCTGTGGTCCGTGTAGTGTAGCACTGACTTGACATCGGAGTTGAAAATCCGGATGTTATTTTTGATTGTGAGTGCTGTTGACCTCCACAAAGTTTTGAGAGTAATAAAAGCTTGTCTTGCTTTTCCGATCCGCGCTGCTTTGATATCCTCGTGAGTTCCGTTAGCCTGTAGTTGAAACGATGCTTCCCAGGTAGGTGGGTTGATGAAGTAGGTTGTTTCTTTCAGGCTCCTCCGATTTATGCCGGCTGATTGTTGTCTGTTGTTGTTGTTGCTGTTGGTGTTGGCCAGGAATCTTCATCACGTACCTCTCTTTCCTCTATGTTCACCTGAAAGAAGTTCTATCTTCGCTGGATGCTTCTTCTGTCGCCAGCTTGTTGCTTTTCGCTTGCATATCTTCCTGCAGTTTCTGGGAAATCAGAGATATATATCACATCGGCGAAGTCCAGATCCTCCATGTCTGTTTTTGTGTGAATCCATTTTATGCCTGTTTCCTCATTGCCCGCTGTTTGTCGCATTATCCAATCTACTGTAATCAGGAAGATCATTGGTGATAGTAGACAGCCAGCTTGCCTCACTCCCTTCCTCACTTTGAAGGCTTCCCTATTTTTCCTGTTGTGGATTACTTGACATGGAGCATTGTCGTACAGATGTTGGATGAGATGTATAATTATCGATGGCAACCCGTAGTAGCGAAGTAGTTGCCAAATCACCTTTCGATCGACGCTGTCGAAGCCTTTCTCAATGTCGATGAAGTTGAGTGAGGTGGAGAGGTGACTGCCATTCCAAGCTTTGTTCAATGATGATCCGTAGAGTGGCGATTTGATCAATACATGACTTGTTTCTCCTGAATCCAGCTTGTTCCGGTTGACGTTTTTCATGCAGGTTGGTGTGTTTAATTCTCTCCAGGATGATTCGGCTTAGTATTTTCCTTGGGAAGGACAGGAGCATAATTCCGCGGCAGTTTTTGCATTGACTTAAGCCTCCTTTCTTTGGTAGTTTGAATAAGCTATAATAAATCCAAATTGGTTTTGGACCTCAGATACTTCCAAAACTCACCACAGTGACTATCAAACTAGAAATATTTGCCTAGTCATTTGTGCATACTTTTTCATTAGTTGGTTGATGATAGTTGGCAATGAGTTTAAGTCGTTTTCTGTTGATGTTTATATGTAAGATTAAATTGTCACCCTAACCGGCTTATTGCACAGTGTAGACAAAAGGTTGAAATCGATTATTTTATATGCATTTGATTGACCCAATATCGTCATGTCCCCGTGACCTTGGATTAGTGTTGCCTTATAATTATGTGAAATAGTTGAGAAATAATCATGCATGTTAATATTTCAGTAAAGTTTAGATTATGCGTTTTATTTCTTAAGTTTTATATTTAATGTGTAAATACTTACTTGTATGACTTCTCCTTGCTTAGATGATGTCGTTTAACGATGCATTTTGACTGTAATATTCGCAATGCATGTCTAATATGTATATATATATATATATATATATATATATATATATATATATATATATATATATATATATATACCTTGAGACATTCTGAATCTCAGCAGCAATCCTACTAGTGATCCCACGCAATCCAGGCCACTCTACAAACTTTCATTCAAGGGAACATCTTCGTGTTTTGCAGAGCAATCAAAGACTACACAGAGTTTATTGGGTTTCTTGGGGTTAAAGACCGGGTGATAGATAGGTAGATACCACTTCCCTGGTGCATTCTGATTAATCAGTCGTTCCACGTAACCCTTAGTGTTATGTGCTTGTCGATAGATCTTGTCGAGCATTCTAAGGTAGAACCGAAGGAACCGGTGAATATAAAGAAGGCATTTGTAGTGAAGACACAAGGAACGACGAGAAAGGATGAGTGTATTGTTTGCCGTAACACTCACCAATCTGGAGTGATTGCAATCGTTTCATTGCGATGTCTCCTGTAGAAAGGTTGAAAATGGTAAAGGAGAAGCGGTTGTATTTTAGCTGTTTAAAGGTGGGGCACACAAAGTTGAATTGTAAGGCAACAGACAAGGGAAGTAGCGGATCAGTAGATATGCATCCACTTTTGAGGACAGTACACGAACCGGGGAATTCGGTTAATTGTAATAATACCTTTAGACTCCTTGACAACTCACAAGTTTATTTACGAGTATTACCAGTTAAAGTGAGAGGACCGAAATCTTCGGTGGATACTTATGCACTGTTGGATAACGGATCAGACGTCATGTTGTTGGATACTCGCCTAGCTGACCAGTTAGGCATCAAGGGTGTTAATGAACCCTTAGTAATAAATACCTTCAATTCATCGGACAGGTTAACGTGCGAACGAGTCTCCTTTTTGTTAGACTCCTTGGTAACTGGAATATATATATATATATCTTTACAATCCCAGTGAAAAATAGGGCTTCAAGCTAGAGGCTTGAAATTTCGTTAGCAGTGGTGTTTATTTTCATGGGGTGGGGTTACTAACCTCATAACAAACGTTTCCTTCTACTGGTCTTGTTTCCGGCTTAGCGAGGTAAAGTAGGAGTGTGTTGGCCGGGAATCGAACTCCAGAACACATGTGTGGCTGGTGAGCATTCTGCAGCTGTGCCACCGGATGCGCACTTATGTATTTATATCAGTGTTAATTGTGTTTCCACTTTCCTTGCACTTATCACTTCGTAATTTTCACTGTCGTGTTTCGAATTTCGTGTTCTATTTCTGTTTTGGTAAATGTAGTTGCCAGTTTTGTTGTTGTTGTTGTTTGTCCAAGTAGTTGCATGTTCGAGTCGAACTGTTTGTGGGTGTGTGTGTGTGTGTGTGTTGAATCTTTTGTCCTCTAACTTTATCTACTCGTTTATTATTTCATGCCTAATTGCTTTTTGTGTCAGTTATGTTAAATTGATAAGGCGAGTGTCTAGAAGATCTGGAATTCATGGACGATTCATGTCTAATGTTACCTAAATAGGAAGATCTACAGGGGAAAACCGACAAGTTGGTAGAAGATGAAGGCAGAGAAGACAGAATTGCATATAAAAAAACAGAAGAAGGCAGAGGTGATGAAGATACTCGGTGACCCACAACAACAACAACAACAACAACAATCAACACTAATCACTGTCATTGGGAGAAACGTGAAAGAGGTCACTTCCTTCACTTATCTAGGCAGAGACATTTCAACTATAGGTGAAACGGATGATAATGTCAGAACGAGGGTGGATCGGAATGGCAAGACAAACACCCTTATGACTCTAAAATCATTCTGGAAATCTGCTCTCAGAATAAAGAACAAGATTTGATTTTTAACACAAGTGTGAAATCTGTTACTGCTTCTGTATGGATCGGAAACTTGGCATTTCCAACAGCCTATTGCAGACTTTCATCAACAGCTACACCTTCTCTAGATCCATACTGAGGATCAGATGGCTGGCCAGGAAAAAAAATAGCATCAAGGAACTCTGAGACTGTGAAGCAATCAAGAACGTATTTCTCTCTACGAGCAGTGGGACGGAGAAATTTGAAGGTGGAATTGAACGCACACGCCGAAAGAGACCGTTGAATGACATTGCACGCCAGGCCCTCAAGTGGAAGCCGAATAAAAAAATGATGAGTTGGGCGTGTTTCAGAGGGCATCAGAGAGGGAATCGTGTTGAGGAGAAGAGCCTGTGGGAAAGAGGACTACAGAGAACCAGATAAAGTGGAATTTGTGCTGTTAAAGCCGCCATGTGTTCCACTTGGTATCAGTTACGTGTTCCCTTGTGTGCAGCTGTGCCTCATTGATCTGGGCGTTAGACTTGCAACCAGTAGGGAGTCACGAGTCCAAACTGTGCTGCATCTGCTGTGGTTTGAGCGACCAGCTGGTATCATTAGCTCTCACACAGAAGAGATGTGGCTCACTAACAATGGCATGGAATTTCAAGTAGTTGTCGGGGGTTCCCTGTAACTTATTCTAATTGCATGTTTTATGTTGATTTTAAGTTTCATTTTTGTTTTTTTATTTTATTAAAGGGGAAGTTGACTCGATCGACAACATCTGCAGGCAATAACGAGCAACCAAAGAATTTACAGGTGAGTAGCACACTGCTATATGCAAAACGAACTGTGCGTCGGTGGCACAGTGGTTAGGACTCTCTCCGACCATGCACGTGGTTCGAGGTTCGATCCCCTGCCGACGCACACCTGATATCTATAGTCGGCCTGCAAAATTTGGGCTACCGATATCACATGCTGAAAATTCCATACTTGTACCAAAAAAATACAGTGTGGAATCAAGCTGTGATCAAAAAAATTTTTTAAACTAATCGTAAAAATGGAATTCTGTGTGGGTGACTGATGTGTTGTTGAACAACCGACTTGAAGTGTTATCAATGTACACAACAAACACTTCAGGTTGATTTCCTGGTGCTTCTGTCTATAGTTGTAAGATGTGACAAGTAGAAAGAGATTTGAAGACCCATCTTGGAGCGGGGGCGGGGGTGGTAACCCACAATCAGTGGTATCATGAATTCATTATTTTGTTACTGGGATATCAATACTTTGGACTATATACTGTGTTTTGTTATGCTTCATGTCAATTAATGAATAATTTGAAAGGAGGGAGGTAAATCAAACTTTAAGTTGATTTTTGATGAACAGAAATTACAGTGACTTGAACTCGATCCTCATGGTCCATAAACTCCAACTTCCGCCAATACACACCTGTCAGGCAATGTCATCGGTAATAGAGAAGATTTGTAGCTCAGGTGGATGACTTGCAATTAATAGTGTTCTCTGAGCTGGTTGGTTTAGTTGCGGAGCTTTCGTCGTCCTTCTGGACAGCATCTTCAGGGCAGTCACTTAATTCGATATTGTGGAAATTGAAAGATCCAACAGAAAAAGGAGATAAAATTAATACCATTTACAAGATAAATTTTATGAATTGTAACAGGCGTTACATCGGCCAGAGTGGGCGTCCCCTTCGAATCCAAATCCAAGGACATAAATCAGCCGTGAAAAGACACGATATATTCTTTCATATCAATGCATACAGATAATTATGGACATCAATTTGATTGGGATAATGTCGAAATTTTAGCCAGAGGAAACACCAAAAGTGCAGTCAGGGAATTCCTAGAAGCCAAGCCTGGTACTCAAACGAGTATGCAATTAACAAACAGGTTAATATAGACGAAAATGGTCAATACCTATGTAAAGATGGTTACCGGGAGACACAATTATATCACTCATGAAGAGAAATTTAAATCATTTCACTTTATGCTAAAGACTGGGCTGAAGGGGATGTTGTCCAGAAGGGGGACGACGAAAGCTCCGCAACTAAACCAACCAGACCAGAGAACGCTATTAATTGCAAATGTCATCGGTGATTAACTGTCCTGATTACGACCTCTCACTAGAACTCCAGGTGACTTTGTGTATACAGCCAGCTGCCAGTGAGCATCAGATTAAATTTCAGCTGCATTGGTTAGTTTACCGGGGTCTGATTAGTTACAAGTTTAAATACGAAATGACATAAGATAAAAAATTATTGGGAAACTAGAAGATGTTGGAAGTTGTGACCAGCAGCGTCCACCAAGTCAAGTAAGAAGACGGTTACGCACCGATAACATAGACCGGTGGTTGTGCTATTTGCATCGCGAAGTAGCATAACTTGAAATTCATTAGCCATTAGATCTAGTCCCAGTATGTGAGCTTCCCTTGCAATCCGAAGGTCCTGGGTTCGAACCCTTGTGGCTGAGTGGTGCTGAAGGGTCTCAAACTAGGACGAAAAGGCTGTTTAGTACACTCTGAATTTTTTCAATGCTTCTGTAATGAATATCAGTTCAACATCAAAGCTCTGTAACTAATCAAATCCCCCTCCAAAGGAGAAAAACTTTAGTTGGCGAATTCCTGACATGACGCAGGCATCTGAATGGTTTTAGGATATGATGATATATTAGATAGTTGGAGGCAATCGGCCACATGAAGCCTTGCTTGACCTAGGTTTCGTGCTAGTTGGCACTCACCAATCAGCAAGGCGTATCCGCAGTCACCTTGAAGGAACTCATGTCCCTCCTACTGAGATTCGCACCCGCGTTATCCAGTTCCAGCTGCAGTCGGAGACGTTACCACTGAGCTAACTATTCGGGCTCGCAGTTGACCTCCTGTAGGACTGTAGTGGGTATTTCGATTTGACACTAGTAACCAGTGTGATGTGTCTAATCCTTTCTTTGGTGCAGACTGAATTCTATCAGTCAGCTTTTGCAATGTGGCCACCATTCTAGGTGGCTCGCCATCATGGTGCACACTGATTTGATGATATATTTGATTTAGGATTTATCAAAGAGGATCACATTTTTATCAAAATGATCTTAAAGTTGGTTTATTATTATTATTATTAATTCCTAGAGGAACATAGAGCTTCAGCCGCGCGTCTCTATTGCGTTCGGTTCTCTGCTAGAGTTTTCACCTGGCTCCACGTCTGCCCACATGCTTTCATCTCCTCCTCACATGACCTCCTCCTCCAAGTCACCCTTACACTGGCGACCAACTCGCCGCTTCCCTTTCGGCCTGGTTCCACTCGAGCAATGGCTTGTCTAGTGATGTCACTTGATGGTTTGTTTCCTCAGCGTATGGCCAATCCATTTCCATTCGTTCTTGCTTATTTGCTGCACAGTCGGTTCTTGGTTGGTTGGTTGGTTGGTTCGCTCATTGCCAGAGATCCCTGTTTCTGATCTGTTCTGGCCGGCCATCTGATCTTGAGTGGTATTGAGCTAAGACAGCTAGCTGTTGATGAAGGTGTGTAGTTTGTTTGAGATGCTCTTTATGACGCGCTGGCCATGTCTGTGATCCGTGTAGTGTAGCATTGACTTGACATTGGAGTTGAAAATCCGGATGTTATTTTTGATGGTGAGTGCTGTTGACCTCCACACAGACTTAAGAGTAGTGGAAGCTTGTTTTACTTTTCCTATCCTCGCTCCTTTGATATCCTCGTGAGTTCCGTTAGCCTGTAGTTGAAACGATTCTTCCCAGGTAGGTGGGTTGATGAAGTAGGTTGTTTCTTTCAGGTTCCTCCGATTTATGCCGGCTGATTGTTGTCTGTTGTTGTTGTTGCTGTTGGTGTTGGCCATGAATCTTCATCACATACTTCTCTTTCCTCTGTGTTCACCTGAAAGAAGTTCTATCTTCGCTGGATGCTTCTTCTGTCGCCAGCTTGTTGCTTTTCGCTTGCATATCTTCCAGCAGTTTGTGGGAAATCAGACATATATATCACATGGGCGAAGTCCAGATCCTCCAAGTCTGTTTTTGTGTGAATCCATTTTATGCCTGTTTCCTCATTGCCCGCTGTTTGTCGCATTATTCAATCTTTCTTCTGGTTAATGTCAAATGTCAGTCAGCAGTCACTTGTTCGGATAAAGGCTCATACATTCGGCGATACGTCTTTTATGTGACGTATATGTGATAGTCAAATATTGAAGTGGCAAATTTAAATTATCATAACTAAACAACCATAGTGATCTTGAATAACCAATCAGAATTCACATTCAAAGAAAAGTCTCATAATCGTTATAAAAATACACTAAAAAATATTACAAACTTGATATTACACTGTATAGTTGTAGCTTATGTGTTGTCTCTCAGTCAATACACGAAGAAATCTGTTGAGAAATCGTACTATGCGCCATATACACATTCATCCAAGTGACTGTATATTGTGGTACTTTGATATGCACTTATATTTCTGACACTATTCTCCAACCTACATCTAACTCTAATGATAACCTTAACCCTACACCCTAAATCTTAATGTAAAAAGTGATAACCCTACCTAACAGTATAAATTTGTAGGAGGAGTACCCAGTGAATAAGTAGACTGCTGTATGTATCCTCTCCAGGTTCGAAAAGGCCGACATGATTTGGTCTGGAATGACATTTAATAGCATTCCCTGTATCTGATTGATTCGTGTAGGTCAACTTTTGAAAGACCTTGACTTTGGCTGTGATACTTTAACTTCGTCATTGAGGTGTGATGAAGACTATTTTCATTAGATTACTGATGTTCTCCGACTTGGATATACGGTTAGAGATATTTACTTCTTATCAGCCTGAGTGAATGTATTTCAAAAGTATCACCCCCCACCCCACTCGCAGGTTGTCATTATTTATCTTGTGTTGTATTCTTTGAAATTTCTTCCACTGACAGTGATTAGTGTTGATTGTTGTTGTTGTCGTTGTTGTTGTTGTGGGTCACCGAGTATCTTCATCACCTCTGCCTTCTTCTGTTTTTTTATATGCAATTCTGTCTTCTCTGCCTTCATCTTCTACCAACTTGTCGGTTTTCCCCTGTAGATCTTCCTATTTAGGTAACATTAGACATGAATCGTCCATGAATTCCAGATCTTCTAGACACTCGCCTTATCAATTTAACATAACTGACACAAAAAGCAATTAGGCATGAAATAATAAACGAGTAGATAAAGTTAGAGGACAAAAGATTCAACACACACACACACACACACCCACAAACAGTTCGACTCGAACATGCAACTACTTGGACAAACAACAACAACAACAAAACTGGCAACTACATTTACCAAAACAGAAATAGAACACGAAATTCGAAACACGACAGTGAAAATTACGAAGTGATAAGTGCAAGGAAAGTGGAAACATGATTAACACTGATATAAATATATAAATGCGCATCCGGTGGCACAGCTGCAAAATGCTCACCAGCCAGCCACACGTGTGTTCTGGAGTTCGATTCCCGGCCAACACACTCCTACTTTACCTCGCTAAACCAGTAACAAGACCGATAAAGAGACAGGTTGGGTGTGCAGTTAGTAACCCCACCTCGCAAAAAACATAAACACCACTGCTACCGAAACTTCAAGCCTCTAGCTTGAAGTCCTATTTCCCACTGAGAATGTAAAGGAGTGTATATATGCGCATCATCATAAAGCGAAGCCATGAAATTAGAGATTAAACTGAGGGACAAAGACAAATAATAAAGACCAAGTCATCATCATACACCATATTGGAGATATAAGAACAATTGGTACACAGTCCAGGAGGGAAACGGATAATAATTACAGTTAGTTGAAATGTACAAAGGAGTATAAATATTGTAATTAGATCGATCATTTAGGAGAGGGAGGATGGAGGGATTTCCCAACTAATTATCTTGTTACAATCTGTCTGTCTGTTTTCGACATAGAACTATACACAAATGTGCGGAAGTTCAAGTCGCCACACTCCGTGTAGCACGCGAAGCAAGAGAAGAAAGTACAAGAAAAGCATAATAGAGACAGTGAGCAGAGGTGTGAGACAAAGGAGGGCTAATAACGAAGAACAAAACAGTTTCATTGGAAATCATAAGTCACAAGGAGTGGATGCATCTGCGCCACTGAGAACGATGAATTTGAGCCATGTCACCAATTGTTTCCAACCATAGATTTTTACCGTCCCGAGGACCTCAGCCTGGAAGTCTGCACCTTCCTATGTGGCTTAGACCAACTGTTGTGGATTTCATTGACTGGTGAGGCCAAGTTTTTGTTTGACCGCCACCAGCTTTTTTCCAGCCTGACTCTATATCTTGGTACAATAGAAAATATGGGATTATCTAAGATGGCTGAAATAACAACTGCAAATTAAAACTATGTGATAACTGATATTCTCACATGATACGAAATTACAGTGTGTTCATATGAACTGTAATCAAGATTTGACTCAGTAGTTCCCAAATAATTGGGCACCGAGTGACATTTGTAAATATTATATTTGTAAAATCTCAGCAAAATTGAAATGAGTAATTCTAATGTTTTGCTCAGCAAACTGGTCTAAACTTATGCAAAAATTTCGATTAATTTCCCTGAAGAAGTTCGTAGCAGATTGCCTAACGAAACGTTGGAGTTATTCATTTCAATTTCGTTGAGATTTTACAAATAGAATTTTTACAGTGTGTTGTTTCTGTGAATTTAAAAAAACTGACTCACGGATAAGTTGGCTGATTTATTCACTCAGAATAGTTTAACTTTGAATCAGGGGGGGAGGGGAGGGAGGTGAAGAGATACTCGTGTCCTCAAAGGTTGTAGATAAGAACTACCAGTGAATCTTAGCAACTGCGAAATTTACGGTAAAGTTTAAGTGAGTTCAGTACTAATATGTGTAAATGAGCAACAGCACTGATCTCGACATGGTGATCAAGGTGTAATATCCTAACCAGCTATACCGGCTGGAACGAGTGTTCTTGCAGCATGTCCTACTCTGTAAGGGTTTTTTTCCTTCACATTCCCAGTGGAACATAGGGCCTCAAGGTAGTGGCTAGAAGTTTTTGTAGCAGTGTTTATTTTACAGGATGAGGTTGCTAGCCTCATGTCCAACCTTTCCTCTTTATCAGCATTATTTCTGGCTTAGCGAGTTAAAGGATTGAGTCGGCCGGGGATCGAATCCCGGACCATGTGCATGGTCGGCGAGCATCCTAGCCGCTGTGCCACCGACGCACATGTAAGGGTTACAACGGAATAATTTATTGGCGAATTGATACACATTAAAACAAAATACCTCTGTAACAGGCGAAGATGAGAGATTTGGTAACGGATCTTTATTAAGGAAAGACACATCAATATTCATATACATCCTTAGCCATATTAAAGTTTGGGTAGGTCAGAAGTGAATAAATAGTTCTGTAGGGTTGACCTAAGGTGTTAAACAAGTTGTCCAATCAGGTTATTTCATGTCCACAACGTGAACTAAATTCAATTTTGAGGAATGAACACACTTCTACCTCTGCTTCAGCCGTCCATCGACTTAAAATGCTGGTTTCAGTTTTGACTGCTTGGTGTCATCAATCTGCATCACGTTACATGTCTACCATTTATTAGCATCACTCGTTTCATATATCTTGGATGTTACGCCTCGTTGTCTTCCTTTCATGTTCCCATTGCTGTTTCACAAACATTGTCTCTCCGCCATTCGATATTCTTTCAGATGATGTATGTTCATGCTTGTATCTGCATTTACACACTACTTATAAATCTGGTCAGTAGTACGCGCCAAACTACCATACCAAGGATGCCGTTTCGATGGTGGTTCGACTGAAGCTAGTAGTTATCATTCTAGTATAAATTGTCTACATTATGTTGGGGAGGAGGGTACCTGGTTGGAGGTGAAGTCTGACTACTGACGAATAGGGCTGGTTTTTCCCTGAAAGGACCAGGGGGCCACGTGTAGGCTTCCTCTCAGCTCTGAAGAGAAATTTCCGAATGAGAAAATAGGACATCTTAACTTATTTTGCAGTAGTTAACATCTTCACATCACTTCAAACAGATTGTATGTATGGGTGTGAGTGTGTGCAGTCGGCCTCAAACAGCTCTCGTCTTTTTTCAAGTATTGGTTTCGTAGGGATTTCGTTTGACTGCATGGGGGGTTTCATTATGAGTTGACACCAGTTAGACAATCACTGGAAAACGTCGGAGTACTGGACAGCCGTTTCGTCCTCGTTTGGGACTCTTCATCTGCAATCACCCATCGGGATTCGAACCCAGAACCTCCTGGTTACAAGGCGAGCTTGTAGACTATTGAGCCACTGGGACCCGATCGTCTTTGACTCTACAGTCATGCCCATTTCTTTTCGGTTGCCTCAGGAAGATTTCTGCCAGTGTAGATCTTTGTTTTAGTTAATATGATGGTGTGAGTTTGTGTATAATCTCCCCTGTTTTATTTTATTTATTTATCAATAGAATTTAACGGCGAATTCGTCTTCATCTAATGGTAATGTGACAGACGTTGTCCATCAAACGCCTGTATCGTCATCATCACAATTATTAGCATCGTCATCATTGAAGAAAGACACTGTTAACAGTGATAGTACAAACATCGGTGATCATCAGAATGATGGTAGTCACGGTGATGGGGATGGTGGTGATGATGTTGATGAGAAATACGCTATCCATTTAGATAATAATCTATTCGATGAAGAGATAGAAATGCTTACAGCGGATAAAGATATCGACAATAGGACAAGAAAGAACAAGAAGAAACACTAATGACGATCAGGCCAAGGCGAGGCGACGTACTCTCCTTCTCTCTCTCTCTCTCTCCTACACACTCATACAAATGCACTCGCTACCAACTAACTAACATAGGATGGATGTGAATAATGATCATTTCAACCGGTTTAATTTTCTCTTTACACTAATCATAATATTAATAATAATAATGACGAAAGGTAATATTTGATGCTCAACATCATTCATGCATTCTCAAAATACATATCTGTTTTATTAAATTTTTGTTTTTTAATACAGCAAAGACAATTTTACCTGTTTTTTTTCGTATACACACGTATATACTACTAACACTTGACTGTGATATTCAGTAATATCTGTTGTCTGATTAATTTCTTTGTCTAAAATGTGCTTTTGCAAATTTTGGTCAGGGTGTGATATCCATTTGAATTCTCTCTGTCTGTGTGTATGTGTGTGTTCTGGTGTGTTTGTGTTTGTCTGTTTATGCTTGCGTATGTATGTGTGTATGAATGCTTATTCAAATTGACAAAAGTTATTAGGCGTGTGATGATAATAATAATAAATGGATAATTTTCTCATGAGAAACTGTTCTTGTTTTAATATCGCCTATTGGGTTCTTGTTTTCCTGGGATTTTTAAATGTGAATCAGCGGCGGCGGCGATGATGATGTCTATCTGTCTGTTTTCGACATAGAACTTTACACCGATGTGCGAGACAAAAGAATAGTAATAACGAAGAACAATACAGTTTCATTGGAAATCATAAGTCACAAGGAGTAGATGCATCTGCGCCAGCCAGCCAGCCATTGAGAACGATGAATTTGAGCCATATCGCCAATTGTCACCAGTCGCCATTGGTTTTTACGGTCTCCAGGATCCCAACCAGTCAGGAAGTCTACACCTTCCTACGTGGCTGGTTCGCTTAAACTAACTGTTGTAGATTTCATTGACTGATGAAGTCATGTTTTGGTTTGACTGCCGTTGGCTGTTTTCCAGCCTGACTATATGTCAGTCAGCTAACATTGCCTCTCGGTCGAGGAAGGCGATGACTAGGCATGCATGCGTAATACATGTCCTAACCATCTCAGTCGATGTAACTTCACAGCCTCATCGATTGATTTCCCTCCAACTCACCTAGCAGTGGACCAATGCCTAACCTCAGTATTGCTCACCTTATTATACCATTTCACACGGGATGTGGATAGAACGCAGGCACCTATGATCAAAGACAACTAACCTGGCTTTTCATGTCTACCATTCTCAATGGCCAGGTCTTACAGCCAGCCATGAAGGAGGACGGAGAGGACTGCCGAGCATTACACCCACCTTTTGGTCGATAGGCAGTCGGATATCACGTCTACTAAGCCAGAGACGGCGTAAACTGGCATATGTGAAACTAGCCCTCTATATCCGTGATGAGATTTCGTCAGAGATCAGTCCCCTGGCACTGGCTGATAGTACTTCCAGAATAAGTGAAACGGTCAACTTGCTTTACCACTTCACTCCCTATTTCTAAACTAGGAGTCAGTGTAGTCCCGTCAGTCCTGTAACATCATCTTACATTTGACAGCAGGAGCGATTGTATGCCAAACATTCGTAGATTACAGTTCAAGGTTTTCAGAAGACTCTGCTGGATTTTGTCAGCGTCCTCTCCTAAAAGGACTATATCATCTGCATATTCTAAGTCAACGAGATTATTCCCTGGTAGGAAGTGACTCTTAAATGAGTTAGGGTTAAGTCCGTCAGTGCATTTATGATGAAGCTGAATAGGAATGGGGATAATGGGCATCCCTGACTCACACCACTAGTTGTCACCACTTCAGATGACAACTCGCTGTAAGCCCTCACCCGGCTGATGATGATGATGTCGTGACGTGTAATAACAATTTAAATGATGGGCTTTTTGTATGTGAAGATTCGTTTTAATTTCAGTGTAGGTTTTGTCATTAACCAACACCAGTGGTTAGAGACGATTGAGAAGTGAGATGTATTAGATATCTGTTCCGTCCCAGTTTGGCACTCTTCACCAGGAGGACTGTGAGTCAATAAAGAAATATAAATTTTGAGGGATAGGGAGTCCGCTCCGTCCTCCTTTATGGCGGGCTGTGAGACCTGGCCATTGAGAGTGGAAGACATGAAAGGATAAGCCGTCTTTGATCATAGGTGCCTGTGTTCTATCCACATCCCGTGTGAAGTGGTATAATAAGGTGAGCAATACTGAGGTTACGCATCGGTTGAGTGCTAGGTGAGTTGGAGGGAAAATCAGTCGAGGAGGCTGTGAAATTACATCGACTGAGATGGTTGGGACATGTATTACGCATGCATGCCTAGTCATCGCCTTCCTCGACCGACGGGCAATGTTAACTGACCTACGGTTAGGTTTTAAGAGAGCTAGCGGTGGTCAAACCAAAACATGACGGCACCAGTCAATGAAATACACAACCGTTAGTTTAAGCCAGCCACGTAGGAAGGTGTAGACTTCCTGGTTGCGGTTCTCGAGACGGTAAATCCAATGGCTGGAAATATTTGGTGATATGGCTTAAATTCATCGTTCTCAATGGCTGGCTGGCTGGCGCAGATGCATCCACTCCTTGTGACTTATGATTTCCAATGAAACTATATTGTTCTTCGTTATCACTATTTCTTTGTCTCACACCTCTGTTTACTGTCTCTATTATACATTTCTTCTACTTTCTTCTGTTGGTTTGTGTGCTACATAGAGGGAGTGTGGAGACTTGAACTGGTGCACATCGGTGCAAAGTTGTTCTGTGTCGAAAACAGACATATGGAGAAGGGTGTGTGTGAAAATAATTGCACAATTTATAACCGGTTAATTTGTAGACGTGTTAGCAACAGTTTATTAGATAATGATTAGTTTACAAAATAGTCTGAAGTAAGACGAAGACGCGATCCATTAGTTGCTTCAGAATTATAAGACTGATAAGTCAACAAACTACATTGAATTGGTTATGCAGAAAGACAGGTGCAAATGTTTTCCAGATCATTTTCAAACAGAGGGAGTGTGAATGATTATAATCAGGTTAAAATGCATCACGCTTCAATTACATCACTTAGATAAACCATTAGTCATTAGAGAATGTAACAAGAATTTCAAACAGAGTAATATCAATAGTAATAGTTATAATAATAATAACAATAATAGTAGTAATGCTGAAGTGAGTTAAGATAATCCTACTGATAAAGGATAGTTTTAAATGAATCAAGAATAATGATGATAATAATAAGAGGTAGAATAAAAAGTAAAACGTATTACCATGGTAGATTCAGAGTCACGACCATCTCGTATAGTACACTGAGACCACCGGGTTTATAAACTCGAATTGTTACTTTTACGTACTAAAAATGTCCAATTCGACGGGCTTCTATTCCGTCAAGTTGATGGTGTCGCAATGGGAAGAAGCCCTTTGGGACCATTTTTCGCAGACTTATTCTTGTCAGGCCTAGAAACCGGTATCTTGCAGCAACATATGCAAGAAACGGATGTATACCTAAGATATGTTGATGACATTTTTTATTGTTTGTGAAAGCAGATCAAAAGCCGAAGACATGTTAATAAAATTCAACCCATGCCATCCAAATTTCAATTTCACAGTAGAATACGAGGAAAACGATACTATTAAATTCCTAGACGTTTTTCTAGCGAAAATTAATGATGGCATAATCGAAAGATCTATATTTAGAAAGTCTTCATGGACAGGACGGTACATGCATCTCAAGAGCTTTGTTCCAATCCAGTATAAAAAGAATTTAGTCAGAACATTGTTCAACAGAGCACGAAAAATTTGTTCTGACAGTACTATTGAGCATGAAATAAAATCTCTGAAGGATATTTTATCTAAGAATGGATATCCTGAGAAGTTCATCAATAAATACTTTAAAGAAATTAGCCCCTGCAAAACAATGCAAACAGTTCCAAAGAAATCTGTCTATATCAGTTTGCAACTCAAAGGAGATGATGTACAGGAGGTAGTCAAACGCAGATTCGATAAAGCTATTAAGAGAACTTATAATGCTGCAAAACTAGTCATCCTTAATACCAATACGCGAGTGCTTCAACCATCTGGGAAATACCAGTCGCCAATCCTCGACACTTCAAACTGCTGCGTATATCGATTTGAGTTTTTTTGTGGAAGCAAACAGATAGGTCGTACGGATAGGCAATTGTCTACTCGCATAATGCCGAGCATTTGCCAAAATGGTTGAAAACAGCTGAGTGCAAAGTGCCAAAATCCTCAATAACAAAACATCTTGTAGACTACAGACATGATATCGACTCTATCAAGTCATTCACTATTGTCAGCAGACAAAGAAACAAGGTGATCCTTGCAACTGAGGAGGAGGCTTGTGCAATTCGAGGTTATAAACCAGCTCTCTGTATACGAAAGGAGATGGTCGTGACTCTGAATCTACCATGGTAATACGTTTTACTTATTATTCTACCTCTTATTATTATCATCATTATTCTTGATTCATTTAAAACTATCCTTTATCAGTAGGATTATCTTAACTCACTTCAGCATTATTACTGTTATTGTTATTATTAATATTATAACTATTACTATTGATATTACTCTGTTTGCAATTACTTCAGAAGCATTATTTTTGTCTTCACTCTCTTGGGTTCCGAGTGTGAACACATGACTTCAACAGCACATCTCAATTTTTTCTTGTTCTCTCCAGTCATTTTTATTCGGCTGCATGACTGCTCATAAGCTCTCATCTCTTCCTCTCACAATCTTCTCTATGTCACCCTTGGAGAGGCCACTCACTGTCTCTCACCTACGGCCTGGTACACGATATCATCCAATGGTCTCCTCAGTGTTTGTCCCATTCATCTCCACTTTGTTGATTATATTTGTTGAGCAATAGGTTCTTGTTTGGTGTGTTCGTTCCCGGAGTTTCTCTTGTTTCTAGTCTCTTCCGGCGCTATCTGATCTTCATTAAGGAGCCACCATAAGATGGTTGTTGATAAAGGACTGAAGTCTGTTGAAATGTTATTTTAGTGATGCATACCAAGTCTGGCCCATATAGAAAGGAGAAGTGAGTTAACATTATTGTTGAGAATTCTAGTTTTGTTCTTTATGCTGAATGCAGACGTTTTCCAGGCTGATTTCCGAGTGATGAAGGTTTGCTTCGCCTTTGCTTACATATAAGATGACTACGATTAAAATAATCAAATTGAATTAGCTGGGATAGTAACTATAACAAAATAACAGTGTCAAATGAAGAGAAGAAGAAATCTGCCGAATTCAACAAAATGAAACAAAATCGCGCAATGTCGTGAGTTGGCAGAAGTTAGAATTCATGGGCTGGCCATTGGATCGGGTCCCAGTGGTATACGAGCTCGTCTTGCAACCAGAAGGTCCTGGGTTTGAATCTCAGTGGGTGCGTACTGATGAAGAGTCCCAAACCGCTGTCCAGTACTCCCAGGTTTTCCAGTGGTTCTTTAACTAATGTCAACTCATGATGAAAATCCTGGAACTAAATGCAAACAGACTCCTTCAAGAAATGAAACCCAAAATTGGAAGTTCTTTCTGGTTTAAACTAAAACCAAAATCTTTTGT